GTCGCATCATCCAGGTGGATGCTGCACATTGGTGGTGGTGGAGGGGAGTCCCCATTGCCTGTAAAGCGCTTTGAGTGGAGTGTCCAGAAAAGCGCTATAAAAATGTAAGCAATTATTATTATTATTAATTTTCCTCCATTGCTTTCTGGGATCGGCTCCAGGTCCTTCACTACCCTGTATTGGATAAAGTGATTAGAAAAAGGATGGATTAAATATTCCACAGATGTTTTACTGTATATGCGGTGCAAAAATAAATGCAGTTTTTCCCTATAAAGCCTTTTATATTCCTGAATGTTTTGACAATATAATTTTCCTCTCACGTGTCATTTTACTCATATCCAATAATTTATTTTTCCAGGATCTAAAGAAGTATCATTTCTATTACTGGTTCTGCTTCCCTGTCTTGTGCTTCTCAGAAGGTATTCAAATAATTCAGCAGCCTGTTACTCTTGAAGAAAAGTTCTCTGTTAAGCAGGTTTGTTGGATTGGCATTGAATAAGTAACATATACAAAAAGTATTTTTCTTACGAGTGTCTGAAACTTGCACGTCTTGCAAATGTATAAAACTGGGCCATTTGAAAGAGTAGTATCACATATACAACACACTCTCTAGAACATGAGTATATTCTATTGTCTATAAACCACATCTCTTGGAATGGCAATGAAGAAGTGTTCCACCTGAAAAGGGGTTTTGGGAACCTTCTTTATGCAGCTGACCTTAATGTAAAGTCTTATGCACTGACTTTAAATGAAGAGTTTCATTTGGGAGACACAAGTACTGTTTTTGAACTACAGCACATGAGTTATTATGCCATCACATTTCAATGTCTTTATTATGTCGCCTTGTATATTGATTAAAAATTATCTGATTTTCTTCTATGATACTGTCACAGACTCAAGCATTGCAGGAGGCTTATGATAGTCTTTGCCATGAGAACGGGGCTACGGCTCTTCCGTATTTTCTTGTGAAGTATACAGAGGACTGTGTTTCAGTATCTGTGCTCGGAAAATGGGATGACTTCTTCAAGGAGCAAAAGAAGGTATGGAGACTAGAACAATGCATGGGCAAGTGTGCAATATTACTCAGTCGTGTAATAACCAGTATAATATGCAGATCTCCAAGGATGTAAGATAGGATAAAGTGTGATCTTAGTATCATCAAAAGTATTGTGTTACAGTTCATATGTTACTTCTATAATACAGGCAAGAAAAGGTGTAAGGCAGTGTTTAACATCTTCTGTAGTATTTTTTTTAAACCGCAGGGACTTCACATCTTGTTTTGCTGAATTGTGTTCATCTTCTGGAGCAGACATATGTACAGATGTTCCAGTCTAATACAATGACAGTTAATTCTTATGTTTTCTATCGCTTTAATTGGCATATTCTTTCTGTTGTCTTAAGGTTACAGTTGGTGTCTATGATCCTTGCACTCTGCCTCAGCATCCTGGATGGCCACTGAGGAATCTTCTTTTCCTTATCGCCTGCAAATGGTACAAAGTTGCAAGAGACTTATTGTTTCTGAGCTTGATGTACAGTAGAATGTAGAGCTGTAATGTAGCTCGCATTCAAAACATACAGATGACCTTAAATATGAACAAACTTGCCCTGATGGTAATTTTTATTTTGGTCAATTTTGTTTGTATTTTACATATTTCAATGTACATCGCAACATGGCAAAAATCATTTAAATTTCAGTATCAGCAGGAGAACCTATTAAATAACAGCACTCTACATGATTGCGGGCATACAATACTTGTTTGAATAAGTCCAGCTATTTTATATTCAGCTTCTTTTTTCTGTTCCTGACGTCAGGGGTGGTCTTTTGGATTCAGTGGAGGTACTATGCTTCAGAGACAGAACCCTGCTGGGCACAAGGTCGATTAAACACAGCATCATCTTCGAAGTGGAACTCCCAAGGGTTTCAGCGAGCGCGGGTAATCTGCTTTTCATCCTAATCAGCTCCCTTTTGTCAAGCTATACAGTTCGGGAATAAAACAGAAAATCTTGTCTTTCACAATTGTGAGAAAAGGATGAAAGCACTTCTGCTACTAATAGTTACTGTTCATGCAAGTTTCTGTGATCTGTGAAGTTGCTTGTTTGTTGAGCTTTTTTGTGTAATTAGGGGCCATCAATCCCATCTTTCTATTTTTAATTAAAGGCTGAAGTGTTTTAATTAACCTCAATAATTTATTTATGGGGGAAAGGATGAAAGAAACAGACATAACCATTATTATCAGTAGCTTTGATTAACATTTAATTTTCTCATAAGGAAAAAGAAAAAATAAGTTTTGTATTCATTTTCTGCTGTGCTGTTAACTGGGCCATAGAACAACAGTTCAGAATACAGTATTTTTTGCTTTAAATTTTTTATGTATTCATCTTGTAATCCATTATTTTATTCCATATAGTTTCATTTGTGTTCAGTCTGTGCTTTCCCAGCCTAGTGATTTGTACAGTGCCGATAGAAATTGACAATAATTTCTGGTTCATTCTGTATCACAATAGTTCTTTTCTGTTCTTTTCTAGATGTGTAGAAAATAGGTGGTACTGTATATCACTCACTGAACTAAGGTCATGCTGATGGTTTACCACAGATTTGCCAGTAAACAAAAATGAAATTCTGTCACCAAGTGGCATAACAATATACTGTAATATGTTGGTATGAGCATAAAAGTTAAACTTATCCAATGACTGTGTTATGATGTAATGTTTGAACTTTTTCTAATTTGTGTTCCTTCCTAGTACAGTTTTCTGAGTTTCTTCAAAAGTGGTCATACATAAAATAATTATATTTTAAGTGCCCAGAAGGAATTAATGGAAGACAGAAATGTGGTTTTATGTTTCTCGAATTAATTATGGGAATGCAACAATGTGGTTTTGTGTTTCTTATATTCACTGTGGGAATTTATTGCTGCTTATACCAGAATATGTGCTGAGTGCTAGTTCAGACAAGTAAATATTCCAGCTGTGCTGGAATACAGATGTTCTCAGTTTTTGAGAGGTTAGGCTTTCTGAGACAAGTTCCTTACTTTACTCTGCACAAAATTACGGGACTGCAATGTCTTGTTCATTCGTTCCAGAGCTTTTGTGCCATTACTTAGTTTGAAAATATTGACTATTAGAGTATTGTAATTTGAGTTTTATTTAAGCATAATAATGTAACACGGTGATAAGGCAGGGTTCAGGGAAATTAACCATAAATAAGAGCTGTGCTAAATGTGCACCTCCTGTATTCTTGAGTTGTGCCAGGTCTTTGAACCAGACACTTTCATTATATGAACTGGGATGTGGTCAACCAGTTATCCAACCCAACCCATTTACTTACCCAGGCTACAAAGACTATTTCTCAAATATGTGCTTCAGTTGGATCTTGCTCAAACTACAGACCAGTATGATAGATGCATCAAAAACAAAACTACTGTTTGATATTAACTGTTTGATATAAACAGGTTGATATTATTGTTTAAAACTGCTTATGTGAATTTTTTTTCCAGGGATTTTGTGATGGATCAGAACAGACATGTCATAAAACTTGATTTATGCTCAATCGATAATTGTATATAACTTTGAGAAAGTGCTAGAACATTGATGATCTGTATTTTTTAAAGGATGCCCAAAAAGTGTGGGTTGGGAGAAGAATCAGAAGGGAGCCATGGGCCCAAGAATGGTGAATCTTAGTGAATGCATGGACCCTAAAAGGTACTGTATGTTTAACTATCGTTTATGGCACCAGCTATTATACACTAAAATAAAAGGTTATATAGCCCATCCTTTTGTTTCCCACTACCTTTTTTAAAACACGTAAAGCATAGTAGAATTATTTTAAAATGCTTAGTTAATCTTTTCAGAATTGTTGCTCTTTCAAGGGTATTGTGTGGAATCGCCTAAGCGTTCCTGACATTTTCATGACACCATATTGCACCTGCCACCTGTTACCATGTTCAGAGTTTTCCATTTCAAGCCGTTGCTGAAAAAAAAACCCCATCTCCCCTCTCGTTGAGAAAGGCTGGCCGAGTCCTCGGTCGATCTGAACCTGAAGCTGATGCGCTGGAGGCTGGTCCCATCGCTGGACTTGGAGAAAATCATTTCGACCAAATGTCTGCTGCTCGGAGCTGGGACCTTGGGCTGTAATGTTGCAAGAACTTTAATGGTAAGGGGCTGGGATCTCATTGGTAATAGATAAATGCTAATGGCAAATGCTGCTTAAAATTGAATGAGAAAAACTTAAGCTCATTATTCTTTAAAGCTTTTTGCATATAAAGGCCAGATAAACTACCAACCAGTTTGACAAAATGTCAGGCTTCTTCAGTGTATAACAATTTATGTTGAATTTAGTCATGTGTTAATGCATCTTGAGAGTATAGGTTTGTTAATTAAACTAAGTTAAGTGAACAGCTTTGTCTCCTGACCAGGGCATTTTCAGATTCAGATTGTTCTGTTCCCCTCCTTTAGGGCTGGGGAGTGAGACATATCACGTTTCTGGACAATGCGAAGATCTCGTACTCCAATCCAGTGCGGCAGCCTCTGTACGAGTTTGAAGACTGCCTTAATGGGGGGAAGCCCAAGGCTCTGGCAGCAGTAGAAAGGCTTGAGAAAATTTTCCCTGGAGTGGTGAGGCCTATTTAAACCCTCAAATGTCAGCCCTTGATCTTTCTTTGCATTATTTGAAAAACGCACAAATATCGGCTTTTGTCGCTGACTTTTCTATCAGCTTTACCACTTTCAGTGGTTTGCCAAAGCACTTTGGACACATAGATTAGGGAGTTTAGTCTTATTGTACGCTTCTACAGTATGTTGTTTCCCAATACTTTTACTTAACCATACATTTGGTTCATATGGTTCACATACAGTATATGAATTCTTTCATTTCTTTATGGGGAATGCCAAAACACTGAGATAAGGTTCACCTTATGAGCAGTAACACTAATTTTCCAAGATTCAGATGTCTGTGGCTTTTTAAATGACAAATACAAAACTGTAAGTGTTTAATAGTCATTTATGTTTTTTTAACTAATAGGTTTTCATATGTATTTATTAAGCAAAACTGTTTCTGATTTACTTTAACTCCAGTCCTGCTCTCTTTCTCCTCTTTTTTCATTTAAAACTTGGCAATAAGTTTAATTTCTTGCAAATGTCCTTTTTTAAAGAATTTGTATTGGCACTCTGAAAGTGCATGACTGTTATGACAGACTTCTTTCAATTTAGTGTTTTAATACTTTCCAAAAGTTGAAAATAAAGATATTGAATCAAAACAATTAAATATTGCACAGTTGGTAGCCAAGGTGTGCTGCAGCTCAAGAGGTTTTCTATTTCACTGTACAACCTCAGTTGTGAAAGAACTGTGAAGAATAGGGATAAATACTGAGATCTGGAATTGGTTGTTGTATAGTATGGGAATGCTGTGAGGAATTTCTAGTCATTAAGAGTGCCTTGGGGCTTCTGGTTTTCATCTCATTTCTTCTCCCAGTTTCTTAATTTCAGTAATTACATGATCGTTTGGCTGTGTATACTCCATGTCTATAAACAATTAAGGAGTTAATTAGCTGGAAAACACTGCAAGACTTTGGTTCTTTGGGATTGGACAAGGGCCACCAGTGAACCATAGTCCAGGCAAAAGAAACCTAAAAACCTACGTTGATATATCTCTAGGTAAAAAAAAAATTAGAGAAAATCAGCCTTAAAGCTTAACATATTTTGCACTGAATTGTTCAACATTTGTTTTGTTTTTTTCCTGCCTTGTACATTGTGTTCTTGATCTTAACATGTATAGCAAATATTAAAAAACATCGGTAAATAAAGCACTTTATTAAGATACTGTGCTTAAAGGACTATCACTAGAGTGTTTTATTAATTTAAGATGCAAGCACATTTATTGTAAAATGCCTTATCGTTATTCACGGCTGGCTGCTCGTGCCTTAAAAGAATCCAGCAAAATTAGCAGCTTTGTGCTTCGGCTTTCTGTGTTATCTTAAAATAATAAGACACAATTGGGGAGTTGATAAGATAGGCAATGCCGAGGTGATGATTGTTGCTGCATCTAATCAAATGGAAAAGGCTCATTGGCAGAGGACATACTAATACATGAGCAAGACATCTGTCAGGTTTGACACTGTTCATGTATGAATGAAAAGGACTAATCTCTTTAACCGATAGTCAAAGAAAATTCATCTTGCAGCAGTATTACAAATAAAAATTGATTCAAAATTAAATGTCGGGGTGTTGACCTCGGTATCTTGACTATGCTTTGCACCAGTCCAGCACAATCTCACCCTCCTAAATTTCTCCTATTCATTTGATCAATGAGCTTATTTCTTACTTCTCTGCCTGATCTGCAGAGCAAGGGGGCTGCTGGCACAGAATGGCTGCCTCATGTTGCCCATGTAGGTGCTGTTCTTCAGTGGTGAAGTGGTTCTCTTTTATGCGAGGTGTTTTGGGATCCCTCGGGTTGAAAATGCAAGTGAAAGTGTGGTGGCACTGTGGCTAAGGATCTGCGCCTGTGGCTAGAAGGTTGCCGGTTCAAATCCCACTGCCACCAGAGGAATCCTACTCTGTTGGGCCCCTGAGCAAGGCCCTTAACCCCAACTGCTCTAGAGGCGCCATATAAATGTCTGACCCCAAGCTTCTCACTCCCCATCTGTGTGTCTGTGTCTCATGCAGAGCAAGCTGAGGTGTGCGAAAAGACAAATTCCTAATACAAGAAATTGTATATGGCCAATAAAGTGATCTTATCTGATCTTATCATTTATTGACCTATTTCTCAGCATATGCTTCTAGTGGCATTCTGGTTTAAAGCCTTGCATGAATTTTGGTGAAAATATATGCAAGGTTATTTCTCCTCCTTGTTTTATGTTTGAACATACATCGTTTGGCACTTTTGCCATGTCATATTTTTTCTGCTAAAATCTGCTATGTGTCATCATGATGTTTACAATCAAGGACACATTACAATGCTAGAGAAGTGCCAAGCCTTTCCTTGAAAGACAAGTGTCTTACTTGACCCGAATCCATAAATGTCATCCACGTATGAACGTTGCCATTGGATCAGCTGTGCACAGAGGAATTGCATGTGCAGGTTAACATAGCATTTTCTTCCTTTTCCCCAGAATCTGTAATGACTGCTGATAAGAATCAAATTAACTCCCTCGCCTGGTGATGTTATCCACATTATTAATTCATATTTTTATCTGCATTTCACCGGCTTTCCAATTAATGAGTGGCCCCTCTGTCTGTCTTCCGTAACTGTGCTGAGGGTCAGGGCAATTAGTCGGTGCTATCAACACAGGCAGGGGGCATAGCGGGAGGTTCCTGCCAGCCGTTTCTGCCTTTCTCTCTGCTAACTTCAAGCCTTTGTGACAGATCAGATAACAGGTCGTAGGCAGTGAGTGTCTCCTACTTCACCGCCCTCTCCCGTTGTGGCCCCTACCAAAATAAAGGCCGTTTCTGGTGCACTTCATTCGCGCAAAGATTAAACAAATATTGGATTTATTTTCCAACATTTCCAGCCCTGGCAGGGTGTGGAGAAAGGGGGTCGTTGGAGAATTCTCCTCCGAGCCGCCGCCGTCCTTTCGCTAATGAGCCTGTTATTTCGAACTTTATTCCAGGAAAGGTGAAAGGCGAGATAAGAACGAGGCGTGTTGAATTCTAAAAGGCAGTGCTCTGATGACGTGTTTTGTTGCAGGCTGCCAAGGGGTATAACATGAGCATACCCATGCCGGGACACCCCGTGAATTTCTCGCAGGCGACAATGGATCAGGCTCGCACCGACGTGGAACAGCTGGAGCAGCTCATCGCTTCACACGACGTTGTTTTCCTGCTAATGGACACGCGGGAGAGCCGCTGGCTGCCCACTGTTATTGCTGCCAGTCAGAGGAAGGTAATTCAGGCCTACGATAGAGCATAAGGGCTTATTATTCCAGCTGCTCCAGTATTTCACCCTGTGACTTGCAACCCGCTGAAGCTCAGCAGGTGTGAGCCTGGTCAGTACCTGGATGGGAGGCCTTCTGGGAAAAACTAAGGTTGCTGCTGGAAGAGGACTTAGTGGGGCCAGCAGGGGGCGCTCACCCAGCAGTCTTTGTGGGTCCTTATGCCCCGGTACAGTGATGGGCACACTATACTGCAAAAAAGACTCTGTTCTTCAGATGAGACTTAAAACCGAGGTGCTGACTGTCCGTGGTCGTTAAAAATCCCAGGATTTCTTGAAAAGAGTGGGGGTGTTACCCCAGTGCCTAGCGAGATCTCAATATTAATAATAATGTAACAATTAAGTGCCTCACGTGTTTAAATTTAAAGACTTACTGTGGGAAAGGGTGTTTGTTTTGATGATGATAAGTTCTTTTAAAACAAAATATATATATATTTCTATATATTTTTATTCCATTATTCACTTTTTATCAGTACCAAATACATGATTTCACTTGGTAAAGTAAGAAGAACTAATCTTCTAGTCTAAGGAATGAATCATGTCAACAAATGGATGGTGGTTTGAAATAATTGGCTTGGGATAGTTATAAAAAATAATAAAGAATAGCTGTGGCATTGAAAGGTTTGATCCTGACTAAAAAATGCTGGTTCTGACACAGAAGGTCTTGCAACTTCATTGTACCCTTTAGGGTAATTGCAGTGTACAAAGGCTGTGCCCTAATGGAGCAAATGGTTACTGCTTATAGTGTTACCTATGGTTCTTAATGTATGTTTTTCTAAAAAAGTACAATATTACACACTAATGACCAAAAACACTATAATTTATTTCAAGCAAGACCTCATCTCCTATTTAGAAGCTTACATGGCTGATATCAACAGCATTTTAAAGATTAGGCAGACCTCCCTGCATGGCTTATCCTTTCATTGTGCATAAATACTGCTCTTATACTGCTGTAATTGTAATACTTTTTACCATTGAGGTGTTGTTCTTATTTATTTAGTCACTGGCATGTACAATAACAACATGTCGTTTATAGGAGACAAATAGCAATGTATTTTTTTATTTAGCCACTAGGGCCATTTCATTAGACCATGAGCAGAAACAGATGACAGTAAAGAACTTAGTCCAGGTGGGTAGCTGTGTCAGCATGCGTAGGCTGCAAAGGAACAAGTACTAGGTGTATTCCATGCTGAAAAGAAGGCTCCACAGCCAAAACGTTTTTTTTTTCTTTATTCTCTATTCAACATCGAATAAACCTATTACTTGTTCCAATAAATAACTTATGCAACAATAATAATAATAGCTATTATTGAATTGAATAAATGTAGTTAATAGTTAACAGCTTGTATAATCAAACATTAGTACAACATTATAAACAGCATAAGCAATCGAAAAACCCCTTTCTAAATAGGTAAACTACAGTTTGCCATGTTTTGCCATAACAAAACCTGCCAAAATCCCTGCAAAGCTGTTTGATCCAGTGTTGTTCTGTGCTTTTCCACTGTACTGTCAGCATCTCACATTGAGGGGTCTCTCCCCCCCCCCGATCCAATCAAAGTCCCATTATGGTGAGGGGGAGACATTGTGCTGTAGCTGCCATCTTTTGGATGAGACATTAAGCAAAAATCCCATGGCGCTGTTTCTCAGAGTAGGCGTGCTCACCCTGGTGCTCTGGATGTTTTCCTCTCGGAGCTTGTACCAGCTTCCACTAGGTGGTTGCTCAACGTCAGTGGTGGATGGAGTGGGTACACTCCTATGTGTAAAGGAGTACACACTCCTATGTGTAAAGCACTAATTAGTGCTACTAAATCCACAAATGACAAACCCAAGGAAAGAATGTTTGTTCTCACATTAGTACCCTGTTGTACTGTACAGTATATGGCACAGGGTTAGCTCTCGGCTTTCAAACAGAAGTTACAATGTGCGTTTTCTTTTGTCTTTTGTCTCCCCTCTTCCTAAAGCTGGTTGTTAATGCTGCTCTTGGGTTTGACACCTTTGTTGTAATAAGACACGGCCTGAAGAAACCCCGGCAGGCCGAATCCGCTGAGGCAGAGCCCATGTCCTCCTCCTCCACCTACTCGGCTGTCCCAGGAACCTCGCTCTTTTCCAACATCCCTGGGCACAGGCTTGGCTGTTACTTCTGCAATGACGTCGTCGCGCCCGGGGATGTACGTACTTCAGGACCTTTTAACGTTTGTGCCGACACTGTTTGGGTGTTCCAGGCTCACGTACAAATATCCTCCTTTTCTGTTTTTTTTGTATCAGAGTGGAGTTTTTATTTAAAGAACTACAGTGAACTGCCTTTCAAAATGCTGTCTGAAGCAGAAGTCATTTTGGACAACGGTGTCAAGTGAGACGGCTGCTATTGTAGCTGTGTTGTTCATTTTTTTCAAGTAAAAGATTTAGCTAAAGGATATTATTACCTGGAACTGAATATATTGTGGGAAGAAAAGTAATTCAGTAATTTGAGTTTATTTTGGTAGGTGTTGATATGGTGTTGGTACAATTGTCTAGAAAAAAAGCTTTCATTTAATTCACCAATACTGATGAAGACATATTAATGAGGTAATGAGCACTAGATATTAAAAACATTTGTGTGGGCTTGTATATCTATAGCAAGGATGCAGTGAAATGTCTTCAAAAACGACAAAAGATTTGGGTACAGCAACTCTTGTGACTTGCCTGGTGCCTGTGGGCCTCAGGCAACTTCAGCAAGAGATGCTTTGCTTCTCACTTGATGCTGTGGCTCCTGCAGTAGGTTGAAATGGCAGTGCAATTGGGTGTATCTGTCTTCTCATTCATTCATGTGTCATTCATTCAGTCTTAAAGCAAATTAATTTTAAAAATATACAGTATTATACAGTTTTGAATATGGTATGTTTCCTGTAGTTGGCAAAATAAGGAAATTCTAGGCATTTCATGAAATTGGGGGAACATCTCATTATAGTATCTGCCTTTTGTATGTAGTAATTTCAAGGAAATGCTTGAAAGTGTCAAGCATTTTGTGAAATGATTACGATGGTAAGCAGTAATTTAAGTATTTAAGTGAATGGAGGTTTTCATTCAATTTTGAAAGTATTTCAAATTACTTTGGGAAAATTTTTATAATATGCAATGGTCCCAAAATACACAAAACGTATGATATGTATGAGTATATGTATAATTGACATCTACTGTATCTCTGTTTAAACAGTACGCTTTAGGGAATAGGAAGTGTTTCTTTACATGAACATACAGTACGTGTAGTAGTACTTGTCCTAAAAGACAATGAGCTGTAAGGCATAATAAAGAGGCACTAAAGTAAATGAAGTAAAATGTCAGGCAGATAAAACCAGAGAATGACTCCCATTAACGTTGGCCTGCTAAATTTTTCTTTTTGATAGTCCACAAGGGACCGCACTTTGGACCAGCAGTGTACCGTCAGTCGCCCTGGGCTTGCCACGATAGCTGGTGCTCTTGCTGTAGAATTAATGATTTCCATTTTACAGCACCCAGAGGGGTAAGTCATCCTTTCAGCGAACTGCTCTCTTTTCGTTCCTCATTTCCGTGAGATGGGAATCCTTGTTGGCTGGGCTAAAATGATGAATTTGGATTTTGTGAAACAAAAAGGACAAATATGAAACGAAATGTAGTGAAGTCGTGCCCCCCCCCCTTTCTAATGGCATGCTTGTAAGAGTAATTATTGAGAAATCACATGCAGCCTGATTGTTTGACTGTTGTATGTAACCGATACACATTTTAATAACGTAAGAGGCAGCAATGGCTAAACAAACAGCAATATGTCCTTTTTACATGAAGAATATTAAGATATGATGTTTTAGTTTGTATTTTTATGTTTTTTTCATTTTAAGTACAACAATTGTCATCCTCCATATTATTGTTCTTATTTAGTATGCAGATGTTTTTCCTTAACCCAGTTAACAATGTTTATTTTCAATCTTAATTTTAAATTCAAGGCTGATTAAATGTGTGTAGCTTTCTATTATGTTGTTCCTAGGGAACTGGTGGTTGCACATTGAGAAGCTATTCTGACAATAAGCCTAAAATATTAAAGGACCACAAGCTGATGAGTTTATGTCGCTCTTATGAATACATTTTTTTTGTTATTTACCCTTTTTGTTACAGAATCAAGCCTCTGAGAATCTATTTCAAATTAGTTTAACTGAGTGGAGTCCCAAAAGAAACTGCAGTGTTGCAAAATATTATTAGTTTTGTTTTTGACGAACTTCATTACTCAAGGAGGTCACTGCATATAAGTCAATTTTAAGGCAGGCTAACTTTAGAATAAATTTACTTGGCATTTATCTTTTTTTTTTCCTAAGTTGAAAAGAGAAAGACAGCTATGTAACCAGATGTCACAATTCATTTCTGTATGACCTTGACCTTAATGCGTGTAGTTGAGCAAAGTGATTCTCTGCTGCTTGTCTTGGAGTTTTATATCCCATTAGTTACGATTTCAAAATATATTTGTAGTGCTTCCAATATCTGTTTACTGAATTTGTGAAGTCTTGTGAGAAGGTTTTGTTAAATATAAACATTGAAACGAGCATGAATTTTCAATTTATAAATGGCTTCATAATTGTAATTGCAAAAGAAAATACATTTACACAATTTCATTAAAATGATCAATATTTGTAAGATTTTGACAAAAATGTTAGTTTTCGCCACATCTCCAGAGGAATAGGCAGTGCACATTCAGAACACTTTGAAATACTGTCTACATTTATAACTTATTTAATGTTAACCAAACTAACATACTGTAAATGGGTAGTATTCCAGGATGAAGAGCTATGTGCGTCATATATGTACTGTATACAATTTAAAATGTTTTATTAAAAAAACAACTATCAGATACATAATAGCTGCGTTTGATGCTCAGGCTTCCATTACAGAATTTCCGGCTACATGGCCCACTATCACACCTGCTTCAAACAAGTCTAAAAATGTTCTTGAGTGACCCTCCAAACACATTAAGCCATAGCAAAGGATGTCTCTGTAAAGCCTGAGTAACCTGACTTTCTCTTTAAAGAAACCATCAGGAGTGAAGCATGGTTGATTACTGCTAGAAAAATGTTTCCTAACAACTGTGGTGTTATAGTTTAAGACCAGCACTGATGTCTTTTCTCATTACCAATTTTTTTTCACAGTGATAAAAAAAAAACTTTTTTTCAAGTATGTATAAGTCATTTAAGGAATAAGGAATGCACCAAAAGTCTGGAAGGTGAATACATTTAGACATGTAACTGTATTCATTTGGGCATTGATGATTTTGCTAAAATATTAGCCATAGCGAGTATATAAATGCTGACTGTTAGACTGGTAGTGTCATGAAAGAGCAGAAATTTTATTTTGCCCTTTAGCTGCTCTAGAATCTCCCTAGCTATAAAATGCACCAGAAGGTAACAACAAAGACCCAAAGAAAATGATTCATTTTAGAGTGGTCATTTACAGCAATTTCAAGATGCAGACAGGACCAATCCTAGTATTATGTGCAAATCCCTTCACTTAGATAAGCTCTATGGAGGCTTTTTGAAAAATCTAGGCATTACTCTGCAAGGCACCTACCTTCACAAGTGAGAGGATGATTACACATCTTAAACATAGTGAAAAAACCTTTAAAAGGTATTCTTGTAAATGCACTTGATTCATACAGGTGACATTTTATCTATTGCTCTCAAATGAAAAAGCACATTCACTGCTAATGCATTAGCTGGCTCAATGTAATTTAATCAACTTTGTGCTGTATTAATATAATTGGATTGCACATTTTAATTATAAATATAAATCCTCTAGAACAGTTAATAATATGGCATTAAACAGAAATAACTCTTCACATGATGATAAACATGAAATAATGTACTGTATAAAGGTGAAAAGAAAGAAATATAAGTCTAAAGAAAATACGACTTGTTGACTGTTCCATATTTTTCAAAACAGAGTGTAATAAAACCCCATGAAAGAAAAAAATCTTTAGCTTTTCTGATATGAAATACCCTTTTGTTTTTGTCCCTCTAAAATTAATTTTGGTAGCTAGTTCACTTCATCTTTAGAGCTGCTTGGCTCAGTTATGGCCTCCACATTGTTTTGTGAAGGTAAACTGAAAACTTATTTTCATATTTTGTGGCTATATCAATTCAACCAGTAAAATAAGTGAGCAAAAATCTACTGTACCACACGAGTTCCCGTAAAAAGTGCAAAGTCAATAAGAAGAAAAACTGTGTTCAACTTGCAAAACATTTTTACTTCCAAGAGGTATACTGAAAAGTATGAGTAGGTAGCTGCATCAGCATGTCTATTCTTCAAAGGAGCAAGTAAAGGTTTATTCCATGCTGAAAAGAGAAGAAAAGAAACACAACGTTTCAGCTGTGGAGTCTTCACGCACCAGAAGAAGGCTCCACAGCCGAATCATTGTGTTTCTTTTCTTCTCTTTTCAGCATGGAATAAACCTTGACTTGTTCCTTTACTGAAAAGTATGTGTAACTCTTAAAAAGTAGAGAAAGTAAATCCTGCAGGGATGTCCATTGCTTACATTTATGTTCTGTTTCCTTGTAGATAAACACTGAAGCTCTGAACCATGGTGACAGATCTTGTTTTGTGTTGAAAATGTTGACTAAACTGACCCTATTGTTTCTTTTCTTTGTCACAGAGGTTATGCAGTAGCCAGCAGCAGTGATGACAGAATGAATGAACCTCCAACCTCACTTGGTCTTGTCCCACATCAGGTCAGTCAACTGAGAAAATCTGCAGGAGGTTTTGCTGTTGTAGTTTGCAGATTTGCCAAAGAATGCATGCATATACTATATTTCTCTGCAGCTTGTTCATTTCTTCCTATCCCCTTTTGTTATTGAACTTATTTTGCTGTTGGAGATATGACTAGATTTACAAATGGGCAAATCAAAGTTTCTTCCAATTGACGCATACTCTTGCCAGGATGACTAATATTCATCCTAGAGGAACTGCCTACAATGCCCATCCTTATTTGAAATGTCTTTTGCTTCTTGCGTCTCCCAGCCATTGTCATCAGTTGATCTTAAAAAAGTAAAAATTCCTTGTATTATATTGTGTATAGCATTTGTGCATATAGAGTATATGTATTGAATGGAAATTGCTGTAGAAATTGACTAAAGCTAATGCCTACCCAGATTCACTCAAACATACCTGTCTGCAGTCTAAATTTTCATTGTTCATTAATGTTTAAAGCCTGATGTTTATTTTTGCTGAGAGGTGCAGGATTAGATATAATCAGAATGAAAAAAAAATCTACAGTACATATCATTATCATGAAAATTAAAACATAAGAATAATCAAAGGAAACCATTCAGCCCATCAACACCATTTGATATGTAGTAGTTAATTTGATCTCAACCAGACCCTACTTGAAAGGACCAGGTTATTAGCAACAACAGTGCTGGGTAGTTTATTTCATATCCCAAAACCGTTTGGGTAAAATAAAATTATTTCCTGTTTTCAGTTTAAAATGCACTTAACAGTATAGTAGTACTTCACTGTCTGGAAAACGGTACCATCTTTGGCCAAGGCATTCAGAAGCAGACATCCAGAACTTTAGATTTTCCAGTAGCATATTAACTGTTAAACCTATTAAATATGCGTATGTGTTTTCAGTTAATGGTTTTCTAGCTTATCACATGACATTCTGCCCCTGCTTTGAAAAACTTCCTTCAAGCCTCACTGACCATAATTGTCAGACATCATTATAGTGCTAATTTTATGCAGAAGAATGAGAAGGAGACTGATATCATTGATCCCCTGACCTATGTGGAACATAGTGTCCTTTCCCAAGAGGTGTTTCTACTGCAAATCAGAAGCCTGCTATCATGGGATTGGAAAAGATTCATATTTATGGTGGCTTCACTGCGGGAAAAAAAAGGAGTTGGTTGAATTGTGCACCTGAACACCACATGATCATTGGAAATTGCAGGATATTCCCTGAGGGTCTTTTCAGAAAAGCAGTCACCTGCTTCATTTACATGATCTGTAGAGCATATGGTTATGAAAAGCTCATCAAATAACAGGAATTCAGACCCACACAAGAATCTAAATTAGCCGGAAACAGCTGTGTATTAACTTTTTTGGAGGAAAAGACCGAATAGTTACTTTCATATGTTTCTGCACATACAAGCACAATACTGTATGTTTATCATCAGGCTTATTAGAAAAGGCTGTCCTTTGTGTAACTGGTTTTATTGAGTCATCTCCTAAATCGAAGAGACCATTGACATAATTACGGTCACCTTGAATGTAAAGGAAGATACGCAATGCCCCTGAAGAGGAGAATTGATTCCCATTTATATAGGACTCTTTCCCTCCCAAAAATTGATTTTCTGTTCTTAACTAAAGATAGATCTTAGACCTGTCAGCCCTGTATGTTGCACTGAGGAATATACTCTCACAGTGGTCCAAGTAGTTTAGCCTGTTTTACCCATTCCATCATGAACATTTTCAGATTGTGATACCTTTATCCTCAATGATTTGAATCCAAATGGAATTATCCCACTTTTTGATGCTGCATTCATCATTTATTACTACTGCAGCATGAAGATGAAGACAAATGAAATAAATATACAGTTGTGGCTTACTTATATGAGAAAAAAAAATACAAAACAATAAGCTTTCAAAAATCCATCACTTTTACTATACCCTATAGAGAGAGAGGATTGCCAGGTTAAACTTTAAAATTGTAACCTTTAGGCCTGTCTGTTCCCCTCTCAGGTTGACTGTGCTTGTCTGTGCTTCTCCACATAATTTGCTATACTCTCTGGTGATTGCCTGCGTCAATACAGATTGCAGGAGACAGTTACCATTCTGTGAATCTCATAAGGGGCAAACTAGCACCTCACAAGTTCTCTGGAATCTACAAGGTTAGAAAGAGTGCTGTCTTAAATAATAATAATAATAATTGCTTAGACTTATATAGCGCTTTTTCTGGACACTCCACTCAAAGCGCTTTACAGGTAATGCCAGTTCATAGATGGGGATTATTAGGAGGCCATGATTGGTAAGGGCCAATGTGAAATTAGATCCACATATGCATAATGTAATGTACTTGTGGAAAGGCCGGGGCACTGAAATTACTGCTTCACCCAACCTTTTGCAAATAATGCCATCTACCGAAAAACATAATTTCACAATGTGAACTTTCACATTTATTATAGGATTAGATGGAAAATGTGTACCGACGGTCTGACTTCGCATAACAACCCCAGATCAAACCGTGTGATGTAGAAAATTAAATGTCGAGCAAAAACGGCCAGCGTAGTGAATTGCAAAATATGAGGAACTAGGCTGCACAGCCTTCACAATCACAATCGCCAGTAGTGGAAGTAATAACACTTCTATTCCCTTTGCATTTCTCTCTGTGTTTAAAGTTGTAATCTGTGCAGTCATATCACAGCCAGTGGTTAAGTTCCTTAGATTAATGATTTTGTAAACACTTTTATCACCTTATGATCACAAATTTAGAGATCAAATATTCCCATTCAGAGAAGTGTTTAGATTGCTGTTGGTTGATAACAGATATTTTTCAGATTTTGTTTGTATGCTGTTCACTAAAGATCAATTACGGATCATTCAAGATTGTTACTTATAAATACTTATGTATTTCATTTTTGTATATATGTTTATGTTTTAAAGGCAAGTAGTTTTAATCGGAATCGGCTAAATAGCATTTTGGTGATAGATAACATCCAGAAAGGTCATTTGTTGCTTGTAGCTCGATACAGACATTATTATTTATACAAAAATGAATTAACCGTGATTTAAATTATCAGGGGTCTGTCCAATTAAAGCTAAATTCCATACTGAACTATTAATAAATTATGCTATTGAAGTTTATTTTAAAAAATTATAGGCATGTTTCTTTAACAGATACTTCAGAGCTTGAATTGTAAGAATTCTCTCTACACTTAATTTGTTCCTTTAATTCACATGGAAGAACCATCTAGTGTTTTCCCAGGGTTATGCTATAGTCTGTTTGTCAAACACGGGTGGGGCCTGATGGTGACTTCTCTAATTCCCTTTCTGTTATGAGACCACACTGCCTCCTTGTGGTCTAAAATCTGACAACCCACTGCTTTTCCTAAGCAAGAAATTAACATTTGACATGAGATGCCAGACTGAAGCAAGATTGTCTGAATTTAAGAAACTATTGCGCTGGTCTTGGTTTGCATATTACTTAATAAACAGATTCAATTGGTCATGTTACCGGTCTGCAATGTATGCAGATATGGCAAGGAAAAGAAATGCAATAAAAATAATCATCCAGAAAGAAATGAGGAAGTGATTTTCTTCGGCACCTGTCATGTGATATTAAAGGGGTAAATATGCAATTAATGAAAGGTTTAAGAACAGTGCTTTTTGTCCTCTCCCGTGGCTGACAGCTGGGATGCAGCGACAAGATTTAATTAGCTATGATTTTTGGTATCAGGGGTGTATTTCTGTCAAATTGAGTTACAAAATTCTCATTGTTTCTCCTTAGTGGGCTAGTTAGTGCCAGCACTGTGATCATATCCCTGTGCTGCATCTTGCAGTGGCCACTGGCTTTATTAAAGCTGTCACAGTCAATCAGTGTCATCTTGTGTAAGCGCGTTCCATGGCATGGGATAGATATTTTTTGTTCTTGTCGAAGGACCTTTTTTTAGTGTAACGGGTGAAGCACCAAGGGCAAATAAACATTGATATGCACAGAAATTCAACCAAACAAATTTGTTTTGTTTTTTTTTGCTTTCTTTTGGACCGCTGTAGGGCTTTGTAAAGTCACTGATTGTAAGGGACACACAAATAAACAATGTTTCTTTTTATCTTTGGCAATAATAAAAGTGTAATGCAGCAGGGTCGTCAATATCCAATATCCAATAAAACTTTTCCAGGCACTCTTAGGATTTGCTTCACTAGCCTGGGTACTTTTCTTTAGAACACTTGAAGAAGGGACTTTATTTCACTGCAGAGTCACACCGAATTTAAATAAACGTGGAGAGGAAAGCACTCACATTAATGGTCTGCTCTCTGTATTCTTGTCTTTACAGGTTACCAGTTATTTATTCACTTCAGTAATAAATATGGGAATTACCTGATTAATACGGGTGGTGCAGAATGTTTCAGTTCTTGGTTTTTTTCTGCATATGTAAATTTATTTTTGTTATCTGTATAGAAAGGCAACTGATGATTAATTTTGTTCTGGAAGTGGTTGTTCTATTACTACTGCAATACCAAGTCATGCTCTTGAACTGATTAATCGAGGGGCAACAAACATCTCCTCTCAATATATTTTTTTTAATTATTTGTAGCCATTGCAATCATATGCGTCTAATTCAGAGGGGAAATGTGTCATAATATCTAATAATAGAAAACAAAAACTTCTGCCTGTATTCATAAAAAATAAATCGTGTTTAAGGTGTGAATGTCTTCTCATTAACCATCTGATGAATGACTGATGAAAGCTGTTGTTTCCTTATTTAACTTCGTATCATAGAGTAGTTTTTCCCTGTTTCAGCTTAGTAATCCACAAATCCACACTGTCTCATTTAGGCAATGAATTTCTTTTTTTTCCCAGCAAATTATCTTTCATCATTTATTTCCCTCCTTAATTTACATAATCTGTAGAGCATTAGGGACTTAGTTAGGGAAGGCTTTTATGAACATTGTCTTAGGTCTAGAGTACCTTGAAGTAGTAGTGATATTTCAGAGAGAGAAATGCTATTAAGAAAAGATTAATGATAGGCATTTTTACATTCAACTCACCAAAATATTTTCTCATTTCTGAGCAAATATGTAGGACTTTTCTGACAAAAAGCAATTAATAAACCTCTTGATACCACTAGAAAAGTTTACTTTTCTTTAAACTCTAATGCAACAAAACTAAATGATATTGACATTGAAATTGTTAAAACGCTAACCCTAATCTGAAGCACAAATCTTCATATATAAATACGCATTGTGCTCTGAAAAAGACTGAAGTGCAACATAACTACTTAGTTTTAATTTGCAAGTGAAACTCTGGTAAAAAAAAATAATCAAAAAGTAATAATTTGCAAAAACCATCAGGGAGTATTTAGATTAAATTAATAGCACTACACGTAGAGCAGCTTTTGCTGTCTATTTCATTAGCTTTCATGGCTGTTGCTGATTCTGGAGAAATTAATTGACTTGCCTAGTTATTAAAATTGGAGTTCAATAAAAGCCTCTGGTAATGCAGGATTTTACGTACGGCCTCTCTTAGTTCTGTTTCTTCAATTCAGTCTGGGGAAGCAGCTACATTAAAAAAGCTTTTTGATTAGTGTACCATAATGGATGTAAGCTTAGTATCTGCTTCTTACATTAATTTTTTTTTTTTCATAAGGGCCTCCGCCATTGTTTGTATTTCAATTGGCGAACACAGTCAATATAGGAATGTCCACACTGACAGTCCAAAAGACCTGGACCTTTTCAATGTTGAACAGACAAGACTATGAGGGGACCCAATTCAAGTATTCAGGATTTTTCTAAGGCATCGACAAAGTCAGCCCGGTTAAAAGTGAAATATAAAACAAAGAAAAGAAATAGAAACATGTGGAGATGTTTTTAAAACCAAGAGCTGAAGGCACTTCATTACCCAAAAGGGCTGTGGGAGTCGGGAATAAACTACCCAGCCAAATTATTGAAGCCAGTTATGTGGCTTCAGCCTTCAGGAAACAGCTGAATGAGATCCTTTGATCAATTCGCTATTAACTTCCAAACAGTCTAGAATGAATAACCACCTATTGTGTGAAACTAATTGTTTATGAGCAAAGGTATTTTACAGATTCAGAAAACAGGTCCCCACAGTGCTCTTACACTTACATATTGAAGCAGCTACAACACATGCTTTCTTAGTCATTTGTGATGTTTTAAGCGCTAAACTCAGCTTTCGGTTATTGATTTATTGTATTTCGTCTTGTTTGGAAGAAGCATGTTGGCATACACGCTTGAATGTAGCAATTAACTGATTTTAATGCATTACCTTCAGCAGTGTGGTTCGGGACACCAGGGGGCGCTAAAGTCTTTCATATTATTTCTCTTGACACTTCATAGTGAAGCATATGTTTCATAAACATTTCTTTCTGTTTGTTTTCTCCTTTATAGATTCGAGGATTTCTATCAAGATTTGACAATGTCCTTCCTGCTAGCTTGGCGTTTGATAAATGCACCGCCTGTTCACCAGTAGTAAGTTTAGCACCTTCATTGTTTAAAAAAAGCATCTACAGTACTTCTTGCATGGTGAAGTAGGACAGTAGGATTACTATGTGATGTGTTCTTAGATTGTTTTTTTTTGGCTGATATTAACATTTGTAATGTTTTAACAAAAGAATCCTTTGCATGGCTCTCAGGTAACATGACCTAAACAAAATAGATTATTAGCGGCTTTTAATGGCACTTAGAATTATTACATATTATGTTTTATTTGTCAAGCTTCAGTTCACTGGAGCCGAAGCAGAGCTGTAATTCAATATTATATGAGTACTTATTTTTTTCTTGCCCTTTGAGGAGCCCCACACAACGGTTGTGTCACAAATACAAATCATTAGGGAACTTCTAGTGGGGGAAATTGTGCATTTTGCGTAATGGGTCCATATGGTTTTAATCATGACACAGTTGGTTGTTGATGTCATTGTCACATGCAAGTAATTAACCTGCATATTGAAGCGTTTTCTCCCCTGGGGTAAAAGGGTGCTGAAAGGCTCACATCTCATAAATCATCTTTGCAGCTCAATGTCTTCTGCATGTGTCAGCATGCAGGTCTGTGCAGTGCAGCACTGTTATTTTCAGCCCTGGTACACAGGCCACCACATGTGTGTGTGTAGCTCAGTGTTTCATTCAAATTTGGCTTCATTACATTAATATCTGTAAAAAATATTCTCCCCAAAAATCTTTAAATTGATGTTCTTGGAATGATATAAAAAGCAATGCAATACGACGAAAGAGATGACTGAACACTGTCATGCTTTCTTTCATACTGGGGCTTTAAGGTTTTTAATGGTAGTGTAAAGGCAATTGAATAGTAATAAAATGAGTAATGTTTAGCTATAAATAATTCTTCTGTAGGAGGCAAAATATTGATTTGTAAAAACCCTGCTTTTACTGGAGTCGCAGAGGAAAACTGGAGAATGGAAAGTTGAGGATCTTGAAATAAAGTAATGTATAATTTTAAAGAGCAGTTTGGGCTTTGAGAAGAAAAGTTGTAGCACACCACTAATTTCGCAGAGGTTATAGTGGTGAGCTGTAGAAGCTGAGAAGTGAAAAGAAAAGAGCACAATGTTTTGGCTGAGGAGCCTTCTTTGAACTCACCTCTAGAGGGCTCCACAACTAAAATGTTGTTTTTGATACAGACTTCCACTTGTTCCCAGAGTGGTTTTGTATATTGTATACAGTTTCTAAAGCAAATATCAATGAATAAGATGTTTAATCAGATTATTTCTGACAAAACAGTATTTTTCCTGTGCACAGAAAACCATGGAAACTGGCACTTTGCTTTGCATTGAGCTTTTTATATGTATTTGTATTAAGCTTTTTGGTATACTTCTGTAGTAAAGACAAAAATAATTTTTGGTTTCAGAAAAAAAAAAACTTTTCATTATTGCATTATGTATGTTCCTATCAGAACGTTCTTGATATAATTCTGTTAAAAACTAATTCTATAGGCAGGCTGTTGAAAAGTAATATTATGTTTGATGATGAATATGACTCAACGGTATATTTGTTTACATATGTAATCTCAGAAGACCATAAGAACCAAAACTGGTCATTTTATAAAGCACGGTTTTATTCATTATTTACCAGTCAGTGCAGTTTGTAAACTGTAAATTGCTGTTCGGTTCGATTTGCCATTGCCTAAATGGTAATGCAAACTACATTGCAGTTCCTTGCTTATGGTCTTTAATTGACATAGTCCCCTTATAGTCTTTTTCTTTCAAATAATTTATTTTTACATTGACTTCAAAACAATTTTTAATAGGGAGTAGCCCACATGTCACATTGTTCCAAATGCAGCTAACCGTCAATTGAAGTGGAGATATTCGGTGAGAGCAATAGATTACATATAGTGATTTGAGGAATATGGCCAAGCTGATATCTCTGAAAGCTAAAGAGAGATGACAATTTTAATTGTGATAATACAGAGACTTATTATTTTACTGCCTAATGGTTTACAATATGATAAAATGATCAAATATTGTGTATGATTTAACTGGATTCTACTAAAAATAAAAGAAGATAAAACAATTGGAATATTGGAATATAAATGCAGCCGAAGGCATTTGGTAAATCTCTTAATACAGCAATTCTGAAATTGAATGTTTTCCCCTTCAATTTCATATTTCTTGTCTAAACAAACTTGTACATGCTAACTCTTTCATCTGACAGTAGATTTATGGGTTTTTAGATTACATTAAAGCTTTGGTTTAATTCAGTGTGATCTGTGGGGACAGCTGTTTGTAAAAAGTCAAATGCTGTGTTAAAACATCACTTTGTTCCTAAATCCTAGTTTGAAAACACATTTTAAAAAAAAAACTTGTACAATGTTCACTTAATGTGTAGTGCTGTTTACACAGGTAGGATTTGTCTTATCTGTGGTTTCTATAATAGTGTATTTTAGGTTCTTAAGCAGTATTTTTAATAGTAAAAATCAATAATCACCAGATGCAGTAGCTTCAAAGAAAGGACAGAATAGCCGTGGCATTTTTATCTTAGCAGACAAAAAAGCTATCCAGTTGCTCCAAACAATTATAGAAGAAGAGTAGTTGTGAGGGCGTACCACATTTAACTAAAAGACGCTAATGTAAAACAGATGTATGTCCCCTGTGTCACATGGTTGCTAGGCTTTGTGAGCTCCATCAGTCAAAGCTAGGGATCATGGGATACACTTCTGGAAAACATAATGAAATCTTGTAAATGTTCCATTGCTTCTATTTCCATGTTGCTAAGCGATGACTGGTTTATCTCAAGAATAACTGTACTGACCTGTAAACACTATGAGGTTAATATGCTGTGAAAAATAAATTAGATAATTTGTTAGAATAAGCAAAAACAACACACTGAAATAAAATGTGCTGCAACCACGTTTGGCTCCTTTAATGCTGACATCACATCAGCATATAGAGAAGTAAAGAAACACTAGCAGAACAAGAAAAAATGACAGTAATCTCCTCACGTTTCGTCTGAAATTCAGGACACTATTCCATAGTGTGGCTGTAATGATGGGGACTAAGTTATTTCACATTAACCAGCTGTCAGTGGAAACTGGACCATTTTTTGTGTGGAGAAATTGAGTTTTCTGCTTGTCCTCTTATCTGTGAATTATCTTCATGCTACAAGCAGAGGTTTATTCAGTCATGCTGTCAATCCAGGTCCTATAACACACTATGTATATCCCTATATCCAATAAATGTCTCTGTTAAATAGCCTCTTCATTCTGGCTAACGCCGTACTTTTTACAATCATACAGAAAATGTGCATATGAAATTGTTGTTTTTTTGCAGGTGCTTGATCATTATGAGCGGGATGGATTCCAGTTCTTGTCTGAAGTCTTTAACTCTTCACACTCCTTCCTGGAGGACCTCACTGGGCTGACATTGCTGCACAAGGAGACGCAGGCAGCTGAGGTAGGAAGTGATCAAGGGGGATTTAGCCTCTTCAGTGGGATGTGAATTTTAACTTTATGGCTCTAGCAGGGTAATACTAGGTCATCCAGTGACATTTCTACACAGTATAGTAGAAAATAAAACTTGTCGGGTTCATTTATTCAGCCTAGCAGTCATTTGTCCACTATCAAGACAGCATGTCTTACCAGAAGCCCAACTTCATTTGAATTCACACTTCTTTAAGGAAACAGTGTTTTTCAAGGCTAATGCTGATTAATAAATGTCAGAAGTCTGTACCATAATGCTTTGGAGCAGGTCATTTTGATATTTCTGCCTAACTTGGGATGGATTTAATTGTTTTCCTGAACCACTGAAATTATTTAGATCTCCAACCAGATGTAACATGTGGACGTCAGAGTTTGAATCTAAAATGCTGCTGCATTCATCACTTTTATATCAGTTCTCATCCTTATCCAGTAAGAATGCAATAGGTATACTGTGCCAGGAGCCAGGACCTGAAAAATGACAACCTAACGACACTCTGCAAGATCATAAAACACTTTCTTAATTACAGGTCTTTTTTCTAATGCGGTGCTGAGGGTTGTATCATTTTAATGAATAATGCAGTCCTATTCTGTGCAGTAAAACCTTGAGATTTAGAAGGCCTTTCATTAGACCAATTTGAATATTCTTACATATTCACTGATCTATTGAAAAATGTTGTTTCATATTAAAAATGAATTAAATTAAAGTATTAGGTAACCCAGGCGTACCCAATCCAGGATGACTTAGGCAGCTCTGTTAGAGATTCAGAGCTGTTCAGCCTTCTATGAATGTACAAGGAATACTCCAGTGAGAGACAGACTCTGCAATATGAGCCAAATTATGAAAATATGTTTGGAGTTTCTGTTCTGTTAAGGTTTGCGCAAAGAAAAGTAATACGGTAATAAAGCAGAAATCCAAGGAAGGTTCTCGCATATTTTCAGAAAACGTTTTCAGAATAACAAATCTAAACTTTTTTTTTTAATTCTTGGCTTCTGCAACTCCCATCTGGCTTTCATTTGGCTCCTTTGGAACATTTTATGTTTTCTGACAACAGTTGGAGGTTGGTATACAGCTTCATCAAGATTCTCAAATGACAAATATGGCTACAGAGACCATTAGAAACTGTGGGAAAATCCCACGTCAGCACTTTGCTTGCAGTAGCAATAGTTTAAAATTCTAGGAATTGAAAAGATGGAAGGAAGAATTTGGTAGATGCTAGGGGAAACCTGTTTTTACAGTACCTTAATGAAAACATTATTTTCTGACAACCTCCAAAATGCTTCTTTTGTGTTTTAATGAATGATTTATGTATTATTTTATTGTTATTTATTGTTGATCATTTTTAAGTCCTCTTTATTTCTGCACGGAGGACATTGTTTTACAAATGGTCTCCTTTATTTGTGTCATTTCCAAGAAATATAGTGAGCAGAACTCTGAGTCAGCGTGGTTTAAAATTGTTGCTCCACTATATCTTTCTAAACGACTCTTACTGTTTGCTAATTGATGATTTGCAGACATAGGTGAGAATTACACTGGCAACCCTTTATAGTAAGTGTTTTTATTGCTCATTGGTTACATTCATCCAAGTCTTTGAAACTATAAACTTAGAAACTGAAATGGTTTTGAAAATACAAGCGATCAGATCAGTTTAAAAGTTTGATGAGTCAAACTAATGAATTTTAGCTTGATTAAAAACCAGGGGTATTCCAAAACCAGGAAAACACTTTCCTGGTATTTAATTCAGTTTGACTTACTGTAAAGTATTGTTACTTATGGCCAAGTTTCCTGACGTAGCATTACAGATGACTGTGAGGAAGTGATTAACTGCCCAAGCAGGTTTTCTGTGATCCCACTTTGTAAAACTGAAATTGTGGAAATTAAAGATATATGCTTAGGAAATGTAAACCAATGCCAAAATCTGAAATCGAAATCTGAAAGTATAATTCATGAGGCAGATAAGGCTAAACTTAATTTTTTAAACAAAATGAAACAAAACTTTGATATAGTTGTGAGGAAGAAATATTGCTTTAAACAATTTGGTACATACACACACAGACATACAAACACATGAATATAAATGGGATAATTTTTAAGTTTGGGCATCTTTTCTTTTGCATCACTGACCTCAGTGTCATATGATAATGCTGTTGTGCCAAGTACAGCCTAATTTTTGGGATGAGCTATTATTTTGGAATAACACAAGGAAATAAGCAACATTTTCATACTGTTCCAATTAGTTTGTGACTGTGGCATGGAAGAGAGGAACACAGAAAGCAGGTTATTCACAAATACCAACCACATAGCTCATGAGCCATCAGTATGCTATGTTTGCTGATTCGCTGGTTTGATTGAGCGTTCCTGCAGAATGTGGACTGGTCACAGGATTCTCATAGAAAACCATATTTTATCCCACTCAAAAAGGAAGTCTGCTTCTAACCTACACAGTACTTCCTTGTTTGTAGGCTGTGTGGTCTTTTGGTCAGGATAAACACTGCAGGGTGACTCACCGAAATTCAGGGTTCAACTTTTTTTGTGTGTGATTGCACTGAATGTGTTTTTCTATAGTACTTGTTTACACTTCGGTTAAGAGTTCTATCTCTTCTCATTTCATTTTTAAGACTGATGCCAACTAGATTCATTCGTCTTTTCGCCCGTTGGATCTGCCGTTTTCTGCTTGTTTAAGCTGGGTATTTCTTTTTCACACCTATGTCACACCTCGATCGCTCTCCTTCCCTCAAAACATCACCCGTGTCAGAGGTCCAGGGAGAAGTGGAGTTATCTCTTTCATCGGTTTGTAGTGCTACGAGCGAGCAGAAAACCAGGAATCTCTGACACTCGACACAAAGAGTCTGTGTCTGTGTCTGTGTCAGAACCATCCTGGATTCATATCCGCCCACCACCAGCCCACCCTCTCCTGCCTTCGTCACACAAGGCACCACTTGTGTATTCTTAGAATACATAATCATGTCTATTTTTCTTCTATCAGGCCTTCCTGTGTTCACTAACTTTTTCAGTCATTCAGATGGATGTGCACTATTGCCATAAATAGGTTCATGCTGAATAACTCTGGAAATAGTATGAGATACAATGTCAGTTTTCAGCATGCGAGAAGGTATAATGAGCATGGCTTGTCACTCTGTCTATATATTAGAAAAAATAAAGCTTAAGGATGTTGAATATTGATTAGGTGTTTTTGACATCATGGCGATTGTTTGCGCATTGATAACTGACACCCTCAAGTGACTTTGTTGAATAAGCACTAACTTACCCCGTGACTGAGAGAATCGACTGGGAGTCAATATGTCCCGTGTAACATGAGAAGAGTGCTTTTATGTCATTCACATGTTAGAGCAACACCAGGGCTGGGCTTGCTATCAATGGAGCAAAGTCCGCTTTAGTGAAAAATCAAGGTTTTGTCTACACCATTCTGATGGATGTCAGCAGGTTTGTTGCAGACTAGTAGAACAACAGACCAATCGGTAAGAAGGACCAGGTGTGAGGATCTAGGCAGGAGTGTAGTCTTGTTGCTACAGAGCATCACTTTAATGATTGATCAGTGTAGACCCATGCTTTATGGTTGCCATTAGATGTTTGATTCTTCACAACTTGTTTGCTTTTTTGTGGTCTCATTCTACATGACAGTTATAGGTGCACAACGCATACTAATGTGTCATTTAACAAAGGCTTTGCTGTGAGACGATAATATGATAATTATGCTGTGGATGCTCACTTTGACTCCCATTGCAAATTTGAGAAATGACCAGGGGTGTACTTGTCTGGCCTTTCTGAGATGAAATTGAAAGATTCCCACAAGACAGCCTTTGCAGTGTAGTTCAAAGCATAGATTATGATGATGATATACAGCTTGTACTTCTTTCAAACAGTGGTCATATATGCTACTAGCCTGTAACTGCTGATCAACTGTGTTGATGACAAATTTCAACATAATGAATGTACATTTTGAATGTACCGGTGTCATGTGTGTTCAACACAATGTTGAAACACACCGGCTGCAAAAAGGTTGTCATTTTCCTGATAAGAACATTTTGAATTTATTGACGGACTTTGTTATTGTGCTTAGGATAAAGCAATACTCAGTTCTGTTTTTGATACATTTAGAATGGCCATTTATTTTGTTATAATGACCTGTTTTGCAACAGCCAGTTGAGTGTTTTTCATTTCTTGGCTTGCAGCTCTGAGCCCACCGACTGTGGGGAACATGGGTAAGTCTGTTGTGCCCATCTCATTGAGGGTATCCCTGGCACAGGGAGTGACATGGCCTTCTGTGCCACTCAGGAGGCCAAGACTTCTTAGTAATTATATATCTGTAGGAAATGTACCACAATATAATCACAGATGTAGATTGAGCAGGTCTGAAGTTTTTAGGGCATACTGTACATATTTTGAGCTCTTATTTGCCACTATTACAAAGACTAAGCATTAATAGAATTCTGTTTAGAGAAATTCAGTAGAAGGTTAATTTGGTCTGTACATACTAAGATGAAGTAATGCAGGAACAATCCTTGCCCACAGACATATTATTAAAACGTTTTCCTCCTTATGTTTACACAGTTCCATGCTCCTCTTGCTCATCTCCTAAGCCAATGTTTAGGGAGCCAAACAGCAGGATAAAGTTGGGCTATAAATATACTTCAAATGTTAATAACACCTCCATCACACAACTACACTAAAAACATCCAGCTGAGATTCTGGACAACCAGCAGTTCCTTCTCATTAGGGAGCAGATGAAGACCAAGGGAGAGAAAAAATTGTCTCAATTTTTCTCCAACCATGTTCCACTCCAATTTCTGCTGCTCGTAAAACCGAGTTTGTATCTGAGGCAGAGCTATCAGTTCAGTACATCAGGTTTTACGTGTGCCAACTCAGAGTGAGATAATCCATCAAGCTCACTACAAGAATCAACCCAAACAAAGTCTTTAAATAAGGGTTTTTGTGATTCATAAGCTCCAGAGGAG